GGAGAACCCTCACTCCGCGCAAGGGGAATGATCGCACCGCGTTGTGTTAAAATGGTCAAGCACCCTCGAGGCAGTTACACAGTGCTTACAACTGTCTCTGGAAGTGAAAGCACCAGAAAATAATTAAGCCATACGCAGCTGTCATCCGTACGCAAGCAAGTAAGCACAAGATGCCGAACATCATTAGCAGGATGCAGCGCACCCTTTATGCGACTCGCCGAATATCTCACGGCACTTTGCGCTTGGTGATGTGAGAGCCTGGTCCGGCGAGAACCTGACGTGTTCCTTCCCGGCTTTGTAGGGATGCGAGGTCAATGGTCTAACGACTACGGCATGCACGACTATGAGTACACCCCGCCCCCGCCGTCTGCTCTTGCTCTTTCGGTACCCGTGCAATGGTTGTATTGGGTGCGGTGGAGAACCTGAAGCTCTCCACTTTCTCGTAATTCAGATGTATGTGATCAAGGAGTCCAACGAGACAGCTATTCAGTTTACTATTGATGAAGTAGCCAGACAGGGGAGCATGCCGAGTCGTTAGAAGGTGTCATCAACATGTGACAGCGTACACAAGAGGTGTATCGGTCCGCCTCGCATAAAACGGTTTTAAATGAGATGCAGATTGCACAAACACGTGACGGCGCTTCGCGATTGGTGCTATGAGAGAATGGTGAGCAAGCTTCCGGCTGTTCATCCGTCCCGGCTTTTGCCATTTCTCATGCCCGTCCCTCCGACCCAGGACGTGGGTACTTTCGCCGACGCTGTCGCCAAGGAACGCCGTACCCGTGCGCGTGAGGCAATCAATCGCCACGTTCTGGCAGCCTCCGCCATTCGCACCTGGATCGCTCGCGCGTGCTTGGCGCGACGACTCCGCCAAAGGCGTCGCGTCCGAGATGGCCTCAAGGTCCGGTGGGAGCCTGAGATCCACCGAATAGCGGCGACTCGGATACAGGCGTTGGCGCGAGGGGCGGCGGGGCGGCGGGCGCGGGGGAAGGTAGAGCGGGCAGCGGTCGAGATCCAGCGGGTCGAGAGAGGGCGGAGGGGACGCTCGGCGGCGAATGAGCTTGCTCGCAAGAGGTTTGTACATTGATCAAGGATTGGCGCGTGGGAAGCCCGTGGAATGAAGACCTCGGCAGTGTCTGGTGAAGAGTTCGGTGTTTGGTTCTAAGGCTCGCACCCGAAGCGTGACTGCCTCCAATTGTGGATGACTTGAGAAGCGCGTAAGTGCGCAGTGTGGATGTTAAGAAACACGTTTAGCTGCCGACAGCGGATACTCACCTACGTTCTGATGCGCGACACTATTGTACCGTTCGTGCTATTTGGATGGCTTAACTATTTCACCGGCATGAACGGCAGCCTTGAGGAGCGCAGTGCGTCGTGCGGGGATATCCAGAGGTTGTTCCGAGGTCACAAGGGTCGGCAGCAAGCTCTTAAGAAAAGGAAAATTGCTTGGGAGGAGGACATGGCGCGCCAGGGCGCGGCGGGAGTGCTACAGGGCGCTTGGCGTCGCTGCCCGAGCAGGCACCGGCTCGTCCAACAACAGCAGCAGGAGCAGGAATACACCGGAAAGAAAAGTGCCACAGAATCATCGTTAGAAGGCGTAGTTTTGCCCTTGATGACATCTGCGGCTGGTGCAAAGCATAACCCTTCAGCCGAAGAGCCACCTCGCCAGCAGCTGTGGCAAGGAGCTGAGACGAGTTGTGCTGTATATAGCTTATGGGGCGCGTTCACCTCTCTGGTGGCGGCAGCAGCGACCCGTCGCGTCGTGCGTGGAGCCGTCGGCCGGGCTCTCTTTTCTCCGGCGGCCGCCACACTTGCCGCTTTCAACAGGGGCTACCGTAGCATACTATCGTCGACGTTACCGACGTCACCGTCGTCGAGTAAACGAATGTTAACTCCACCCGACCCGGCGTCCTTCGACGGCGCGCTGGGCACCAAGACGAAGCTGGCCTTGGCCACCCGCAGGATGGTCGGGGCGGTACGCGCGCGCACAAGCTCAATCTTGGCCGTTCGATCCGTGGCTAGGAGGTTATTGGATGGTGTCCACAGTGACGGCGAAAGGGGGGCTACTGCTGCTGCTGCGGGGCCTGGTTGTGGTAGTGGAGTCGTGGACGACGACGAGAGGCGGGTAGGCGGGACGGCGAAGAGGGTTGCTGAAGAGACTGTGTCTGTGGTGTTGGAGATGGCTCAGGTGTGTGTGTGTGTGTGTGTGTGTGTGTACCTCAGGCCTTAGACTACAGAATTATCTATGAAACTTGAACACGTACAGGAAGAGTTGTTCGATGTGTTCAATACCACGTGTCAAGGTGGCGAAAATCGTTCACCTGCTCTGTAGCATTGGCGTCTTCCGCAGGCAGCTTGTGGAGGGACGAGACCATGACGTTGTTGGAGATCTCTCTTAGCACAAGGAAGCTGTCGTGTGGACTCACAAGCTCCACCAATAACACACCTATGTCCCGTTTCGTCTTTTCGTTCTATATTCAGGAATGCCTGGAAGCCCTCAGCAGCCTGCACGATGATTATCCATTGGCTGGGCTAAGTGATGGAGCATTCGCGGAACGGGTAACGATGGTTTTGTCGGGAACGCTTGAGGTAGGTGGAATGTGTCCGCCACGCGAGGCTACTCGAACGCGTACCCCCATAGCAACGTTCAAATTGCTGAGGGAAAAGCAAAAAAAGCTCACGCCCTCCCCCCGCCTCCACCGCTTGGCAGAGCTTAGTAGACCACCTGGGTGAGATGAAAGCGTTGAATCTGGCGCGTGGACAAGAAGCAGAAACGAGTACCGTCATTGGTGGTGACGACGGGAGTGGGAATCTTCTGGACGGTCTCACCCATGATCGGCATGATCCCTCTCTTCGCCGACCACTTGCCCTCCCCGCGGGGCTTCTCGGAGCGCTTGCTTCATCTTCGACGGCGTCTCTGCTGTCCCACCCTGACATTTTCGAGCTCGTCGGTCAGAATCTCAGCCTTGACGAGGAAGACGAGAGTCGTGGTAGTGTTAATGATCGCCCTCGCAGCGGTGAGTCGGACGGGAACGGTGGGGAAAGAAGCAACGATGAGGACTGCTATTCTCGACTCGTGGCGGAAGCGTACTGCAGCTTCCTGCTCGTGTCGAGGAACGGTGAAGGCCGTGGCGGCGGTGACAGCGACAACGGCGACGGTGCCAAGCTGTCCGAGGGCGAGACTTCCGAGTCCGGCTGTCAACAACCTGAGAAGGGCGGCGAAGGAAAGATCTCGATCACGGCTACGAGAAGGCTGCAACAACCTTGTCCGCCGTCGCCTACTACGCTGACGAACGGGCGTTTACGATTCTTGCGGTCGATCACTGAGCTGATCGACCGCGCTGCGGAGGAGATTGTGCGCGGCGTGGACTCGTGTGCTCGTCTTGGCGGTGGCAAGTGCTTCGATGCCGACGTCCGCCGAATGACGAACGATCTGTGGAGGCTGACCCGACGTGGAATGACACCGTCTGCCACCGTCCCCGACGACGAAGACGAAGACGCGGAATTCAAGTGAGAGAGAGGCCTCTCTCAGAGCCTATGCTACAGTAGTTTTTGATGGCGTTTACTAACGCCCATAGTCCGGGTGAAGTTCAGCTCTCCTCAACAACATGTTTATCGCCCGTAGACCGTGAGTCAGTTCTTAGGGGGGCTTGCTCAATATTTCGCCCGATTTCCTTCGAGAAAAATACTAGTCTATGTGGCAGGTTGTCACCTGCGTACGTGTGTAAGACCCCTATCCACGAACAGTGTTCTTCGTACAGCCTCGTCCTCGGCTCGCGGCTAACTCGTGCTGGCCCCTGCTCGCGTACTGAACTTCCCTCGACTGCTACGTGTCGCGGGTAGGCGGATGACTCGCGCCGCGATCGTCATTCAACGATGCTCTAGACGATACCAAGCACGAGAGCCTAGAAATACGGCTACATCTCCACCATTATCATCGGCCCTTGGGCCGACTACAAGCGAGCCCAGCGCCACAATCGACGGCAGCAGCAGGAAAGGGGGGAATCATACGCCGAAAGGGCGAGACTGAGGTCGGGGGTGGTGGCGGTGACCGGCGGGAGTCGCCAGTGATAACGTAGTAGACAATTTGCGTGAAGGTATTTTGGCGTCAGTTCCTGTTCCTAAGTGTTATCATGGTGGAGGAGCGGTTCGCCGACCGTTTCTCGTTTCGTTTTCGCCAAGCGAGGGAAAAAAACGTTCTCGATCCCGAAGATGGCTAGTGGTGTGGTGATGGTGGTGATAGTGGTGGCGGTATTATCCCATTGATGTGCCCGCAAGAGAGGGCGAGTGAACGAAGTAAAGCTCGCATAGCAGTGACTATCGTGTCATTGCTGTCCTGTAATGGTAAGTGGTTTGCCGATGTTGCCTCCTTTATTTAGCATTGATGGGTGAGCTTGGAATGTATCACCTACCCCGGTGGAGATTCTTGGGATGGTGATGGCCTCGCTTCGAATCCTACTTCAGAACTTCAAACGCTGACCGCACATGCCTTTCGTGCTCAAACTTTGGTGTAGACAAAAGACTACGTAGCACGTAAGATTTTCCCGGTCAGCTGTGTAAAGTCCGAATCTCTCTGCTCTGCGCGACCCCTGGTCGACAATGTGTCAACTCTGTTGTTTCCCCTGAACACTGCTGTCACATGCATGAGAGCACAAAGATAGGACCTTGTTTGAAAACGAAGCCATTGGTAACATTATGAACGTGTCGACACCTTCGACAAACGCACTACAGTAGTACATACACCAAGAACGACGGCGACGGAATACGGTACACACACGATTGAAAACCTCGTCAAGGGCGTGGGAGCTTTCTTCCACATCTTGGAACCAACCACTGATTGTGGGGATTGGACAGCATGCATACCTCGCCAGCGCTTCACTTTAGCTGCGCCCCTGCATGATGAGAAGATTAAATAATCTAATCTAAACTAGTTTCAGCCCCCCAACTGTTGTAAAAAAACACAGAACACGCTCCCACCACTCAACGTGTGTATTTCGTATGCTGACCGCCCCGAGTGCAAATATCCCCCACCCCTGTGCGGCAAATTATCTACAACCTTTCTCGTCGCCAGCCACCCTGCCACACGCGTTCGCTCTCCTTCGCGTTCCATCTGATATTTTCTCGCTCATGAACCGTTCCGACACGTATCCGTCCGCAATGCCAAGTATATTGAGAGACCACCAACAAGAACAAGAAACACACAACCGGTAGCAGTAGCACCAGCATAACGCCTATTCCTAAAAATGACGATCTTAAAATAACACCCAGCGCGGTGCGGCACAACGCACGCAACCGTTCCAAATATTTCCACCTGGGAGCGGCGTGCAGACCCAGCCGTCGGAGGCCGCCCGAACGAAAGTGTGCCTCAAAAATTCGTTTGCATAGTCGCGCCGCGCGTCCAGACGCTTCCGGTCCCTTCACACAAAAAAAAATTACGAATCCCTGCCTTATTGAGTAATGTACATACGCAATTTGGTTACTTTTGTCCCCCTTTCGCCGTTTTCCTCGCCCATGCCCACCGGCCCAAACTCCAAAACAAGCCCCGTTGACAGTACCGCACGCTCACCACCCGACACCCAACCCAGATGCCATAGGTTCTGCATCGATTAAAATTAGCCTTCGCCAGCTTGACTCTAGCTAGCGTTTCTACACCCGAAAGTGTTGGCTCTACGAGCGTCGGTTCCCCAATGAGGGTCTCAAGTTTCCCCTTGGCTTGACAGCCGTGCAGTGCAGCCTTGACAGCTGTGCAGTGCAGCCTTCGGAGACCTACGCATACTATTAGCTGGCGCTGCTGAAGTCGGCAGAGAGGTCGTTCCTGACCCACTTGTCCAGAAAATCGTTCATCCGCTCGAACAGCGTCCCGTCCTCCCTGCGTGCGCACAGTCGACAACGACAACGACGACGGCAGCAGCGACGGCGGCACAAAAACGAAAAGGAAGGTCAACAAACAGACCGGGGGGGACACGCCCACTTCGCCATCATGCCAATTTTTCCCCGCAACCGAAAACAAGGTCAGACTAACGCAGGAAGAGAACCAACAAGTTGGCGGGATGTGCACCGCAAAAACAGGCGGGGGTGAGAGATGAGAGGGCAAGGGTTGGGGGTGGGGCGGGGCAACAACTCAGTACCATCAACCCATCGGAGTGACTGTAGACCGATCGAGCGTGCGCTATCGCTAAATTAGTGATCATAAACGCTTGCGGTCACATCGCCAGCTCTTCATTGGTCGCGAGCAACCGAGACCATCTTGCTTTATATACTATCATGTGTTCACTCATACTACACAACCAACAACACTCCACTGTCGGTGCAGCACAAGGCGGCCAGGACGGACCTGTAAACCTTGACACAGAACACGCAAAAACGCACACATGGACAGCAAAATGCCAATTCTGCCTTTACCATCAGCAAGGCCTAAAACACGGTAGAACATCGACTATCATCCAACCAGAGCTCCACTCATTGCAGTGCATGGGTGCCAAAACCGCAACACAAATTACCTCAGCAACGCCTCGATGTTGTTGTGCCCCGCGCCGTCGACCCAGAAGGGTTTTGCCCGCCACTTCGTCGGCGTTGCGAGGAACAGTTCTTGGCCGTGCCAGAACGGTACTACCTCATCCCTAGTCGTGGTCAGTGTTCGGTGTAAACTATCAGCATGTGTTCGACACATCATGGATGGAATACCCACGCACGATGATGCGAAAGCGCTCAAAAGGTGATGTGTTCAATTTCCTTCCTCAGAGAGTGGATATTTCTTAAACCGATACGAGAGGCTATTGGCAACCAGGACACATAGGCACGGCAAGTGTTTTTGTTTTTGTTTTATTTTTCTCCCATCATTGAACATTGTCGTCTGCCCCTCTGGCCCCTATCCTCCACTTCTGCCAGCTAGACGACCCAACCGGGGTCACATAGGAGGGGGGGGCTGGACCCCTCCTGCGGCAAGTGTATCCACCCCTGATTGGACCACCAATTCAACACAAGACGACACGTAGTCATGTAGCGAAAACTAGCATGCGATCGATTCCCTTTCTCGACCGTGATGACTCCTGATCGGGAGCCGAGTGTATTAAAAAGGAGGCCGACATGCACAATCGTTGCAGAAGCTATTTACCGCAAGAAGGCGTGGAGCGAGGCAAACTTCATGGAGTACGCTCATTCGAGTGCATTACGGATAATGTCAACACACCAGAGCGCTGTCATACCAGACCTGTCATGAATGCAACATCGGTACACAAATCACAGTGCGCGTGAGGTAGGTAAAAGAAGAACACACGTGAAGCAGCACCGTCTGCTTGAAGGACACACTCGAAAGAAAAAAAAAAAATTAAGACAGCGGCCGCACCTAGTCCCGTGGATGATGAACATCGGGCACGCCACCCCCTTGACCCTGTCGATGTTGGGAAACATGTCCCCTGGCATCGTGAAGCGGAAGTTGAACGCGACTCGAAAGGCGGAGGCCAGGGGGCTCTGTAGCATCACGCCCCCCAACTCCACGCCGGCCGCGGCCAGCTCCTCCGCCAGCTGGCACGTCGGGCCGCTCCCCAGCGACCGCCCGTACCTGGCATCCATCGCGAAAAGGGTCGGCACATTGGACGCGGAAAAAATGGCGGCGTGCGTTGCCGTCATGAGATCATCAGAAAAAACAGGGTCGGCTGTCGCCAACACGAAAAGAAACGGATTGTAACGACAGAGTTGGAAAAACTGTCGCACATAGGGATTCGAAAAAGAGCAAGACGACACGACCGCACAGCCTAATAGCATGGCTGCCTACAGATGTCTGCTGCCTGGTGACAACACTGGATGGCGCATAGTTATCGATTCAATCTTCTCCGGCGTCCACCCCAACACACACCCCACAAACTGGACGAAAACGACACGACCAAAGCGCGCTACGGACCACCGAAACCTTTTTAGGGTTGCACCTCTGTCTCTGCCGTATCAACGCACTCACAGCACGATCTGCTTTGGAGGCGTCTTCTTCTGCGTGGTCAGGTAGTCGTACGCGGCGCGGATGTCGGCGTAGCAGTTGTCCTCAGACACGGCCCCCTCGCTCTTCCCGTACCCCGAGTACTCGTACGCTAACACGTTCACCTGCCGCCGCCCGCCCGCCCGCCCGCCCGCCCAACCGACCGACCCGAGCAAAAAAACAAATCAGCGGACCACGTATATATATGCCGAGCAGGCCGCGCGGGCTTACTGCCACCACGAGACACAATCACAACAAACGAAGAAAAAAAAAACACAAGTCCTACACCGGTCCTCTTCCACGCACACGTCGAACTTGTTGCCGTGTGCATGTTTTTCTCGAATGGTGGGAGTCGACCGCGCTACACAACCGGCTGGACCAATGACAAGATGGCATTGTTTTAAGCAGAGAGAGACAGAGAGAGAGAGAGAGAAGTCGAGGGCACGCCTCTTCATTCCGCGGGGGGCCCTACCGACAAGAAGGTCGCGGAGGATGGTTCACGACAGCGTCCAGTCTCCGGATTCGGAGTACCTTGTTGAGGAGAACGACACACACTTCAACCACCGCCCGTAGCATCCCTCTTCCTCTCTTTGCTTCCCTAGCTAACATCGCGGCTGACCAACGAAAGGACTCAAGACCCCAGCCCTAGCGGGACAAAAAAAACGGCCAACAACAACATTTTCTTTTCTCCGACAGGCGAGCCGCGGGAAGAGGTCGGACGTAAAGGGTGACACGAAACAACTCTAGAGGAAACGGATTTCGATTACGACACACTATTACGGAGATAATTCCATGACCTTCCACACGATGATGACATGCAGCCCAAAATAAAAGGCCCCGCAGCTGTGCAGGGTAGAGGAGAGGAGCAAATTCGGCGTGCTGAACTTGCTCTGGACGACGGCAACGGCACATGAGACTACGCACATTCAGTTGTCGGCTGAAGTCGTAGAACCACTCGTAGATCAAGCCGAGGTCTGTCCGTCACACCGCAAAACAACCAAGGACGGGTAGAGGGTAGGGTCGGGATTAGGGTTCGGGCGGGCGGTAGCAACCAGGGGAGTGGAATGTCAACTGTCCCGACCTCCGAACCATCTCTGGGGCGGTTCCCGCATACACACTCCAACCTGAGCATACAACGAAGCCTCTCTACACACATACAACACATGCTGTTCGAACCACACAAAGAACACCCTTGCTCTCGCGGCCAGAAAATCCTACTGCTGAATTGTAATGCGTACTTGGAGGCCGTGGATGTTTCGGTGAACCTCCACCGCTTCTCAAGGGGTACAATTTCGGCCGAAGACAACGCCTCATTGAAGAACGGTGGCAAATCATTCGTCCTGTTACGGAACAGTGCTGTAAAGTCTACACTGGTCCGAGGAAACTCATAAACCATGATGGACAAATTGTTCCTTTTGCGCATGGCCACAGTCCAGCAACTAGAGAACGGCAAGCATGGACGCGAAAGGTACACCCTGGGAAAACTTATATCGCTTAAGCACTCGAGCGGTACGTCTTGTCCGAGAGATGTTGGCGAAACCCTCAAAACGAAACCTACCCTAATATTCACTGTACGTACTCGCAAACCTCTTTCATCACGCGGTAAGAGAAATCGGGCAGAGTCGACGTTTGGCGTCGCTGAGAAACCACACTGACGTCACCGAGACCAACGGCAATTGAACAGGGGTCACGCCAGGCTTACAATATCAAGTCCCTCACCTTCAGCGTTCCCGTGGCTAAATAAAATCGTAATCTGCGAGCTGCGGCGCCACCACAACCATCGCCACCGCAGGCATCACCACGAACAAAGACAAGGAGGGTAGGGGGGGGGGGGGGGGGGGGGGGGGGGGGGGGGGGGGGGGGGGGGGGGGGGGGGGGGGGGGGGGGGGGGGGGGGGGGGGGGGGGGGGGGGGGGGGGGGGGGGGGGGGGGGGGGGGGGGGGGGGGGGGGGGGGGGGGGGGGGGGGGGGGGGGGGGGGGGGGGGGGGGGGGGGGGGGGGGGGGGGGGGGGGGGGGGGGGGGGGGGGGGGGGGGGGGGGGGGGGGGGGGGGGGGGGGGGGGGGGGGGGGGGGGGGGGGGGGGGGGGGGGGGGGGGGGGGGGGGGGGGGGGGGGGGGGGGGGGGGGGGGGGGGGGGGGGGGGGGGGGGGGGGGGGGGGGGGGGGGGGGGGGGGGGGGGGGGGGGGGGGGGGGGGGGGGGGGGGGGGGGGGGGGGGGGGGGGGGGGGGGGGGGGGGGGGGGGGGGGGGGGGGGGGGGGGGGGGGGGGGGGGGGGGGGGGGGGGGGGGGGGGGGGGGGGGGGGGGGGGGGGGGGGGGGGGGGGGGGGGGGGGGGGGGGGGGGGGGGGGGGGGGGGGGGGGGGGGGGGGGGGGGGGGGGGGGGGGGGGGGGGGGGGGGGGGGGGGGGGGGGGGGGGGGGGGGGGGGGGGGGGGGGGGGGGGGGGGGGGGGGGGGGGGGGGGGGGGGGGGGGGGGGGGGGGGGGGGGGGGGGGGGGGGGGGGGGGGGGGGGGGGGGGGGGGGGGGGGGGGGGGGGGGGGTGATGTGGGTGCCTAGGTGGTTGAAAAAGAGGGTGCACAAACGTCCTTTTTTTTCTTCTCGAGTCTCAAGGTCAACATTTCGGGATATCGGCACGCATGGCATGTTTGCGGTTGTGTGAGTGTTACGGATGCCTTTTGACACTCCTGCGTCTGCTGCCACCGCTAATCTTTGTAGGGAGGTATTAAAGGTATCACCACGGGCACCAATTGCATTTACAAACTCCTGGATTCCGCACCACAATACAGAACATAAGTAACGGCCTCGCATGCGGTAGACGTCTGGTACGGTCGATACACAGGCGTGTTTTGTGGTACCAAGGGGTGCGGCAAACGTTACACATACCGAGTGAGAACCGAAGACAGAAAGCAACCAGCGATGGTAGCGTATGCTGATGAAGCAGATTTTCTCTGTCATTCATACTTCGCCATTATGCCTGCCCCTCTACTCCTTCGCGCGCCCTCGCCAATGAGTAAATTCTCAGCGACATTCTGACGTCGGGGCGGTAAAATCTTTAACGAAAGCTCTCGCATAACGAGGATTTTTGTCGATCCAACGCTTCACACAGCGAGGGAGCTTTTCTATCCACGGCTTCACACAGCGAGGAATGTTTCGCCATCCAATGCTCCACACAGCAGTCAGGATCTCCACCCACTTTGCCACAAATCAGCGTCGCGCCCGCACTCGGCGAAAACATCGCTCGTTGATCTCCATCTTTGCTTCGTAAGAATAGGCTAAAACAGTAAAAGATGAGGGCAAACCTGCAACGCACAGGTGAAATGGCAGCTGGCTGTCTCCCGTGGTCACAGGCCAACTACCTCCAAAAAGGGGACACACTTGCACTACAAATCAAAGCACGGAGTTCTCCGTGGTTGGGTCAAAATACTCCCGGCAGGACTGCTGGTAGCTAGCAAAGCGTGTGAGCGTCAGCAAATCGTCACCCTTGGGTGATTGAAACCCTAACAAACGAACCCCACCAACGAGGAAGTAACAGCGGCAGCGTGAAGAAGCGGCGCACGATAACCGCATGGGGCACCAGGCCTACGGCACGTGCAACGTTTCTCCGGTGCCACTCACTCCTCCGTGCGATAGTTATACAGGTTAGGGTTCCTTACTCTCTGGGGCACACCATCTCCACCCGCCTCTCCTATCTTTCCTGGCTGAGACATCAACTATGTTAGACGCGTCGGGTGGGTGTAATTCATGCTATATCGTACGAGAGTATCCTCGGGTGTAAGATGCAGTTTCGTCGCGGGTGCCGATATGACACTGACATTGACTGCTGCTGTCAAAAAAATGCAAGATGCCCCAGTCGTTGCTTTTCGCGAGGTGACCCTCCCTCTCCCTCCTCTGACACGCGGTCTGTTTCTGCCTCTATCCATCTCATCGGCATGTACCTGTCTGAGAGAGAAAACAATACCATTCCGGGAACAACAGATGACATCACGGAAGGAACACGCAACCGTTCAAAATATTCGCAAACCGGAAAGGCGTTATGTCTGCCTGGCGAAACCGGCGGAAACACACAGATAGGAGTGGGATTCTCTTCCTCGAGAACTGGTGGTCGAAGTTCCGATTTTCTGGACATATGGGTGCCGTCTCTCTCCGTTGCCATTTGAAGGTTCATCTGCGGCGTTGACAGCACCGACCCTGCCGGTTCTACATGCCTAAGGGCGGGGATTAAATGTCCCCCGGGCATTGTAGAACGCATAATTCCCTTTCCGCAAGTGCCGTTACAGGACTACACCTTCGAAACGCAACCCACCCAACAGAACGAGTGGTCTTTCTGTGTTTTCAGTTGTATGTTTTCAAAAAACAAGTATTCAGAAAAAGAACACGGAACGTTTCAGCGAGCGTCGCGCGCGGTCCGCAGGCTGTGAGCAAGCACAACAAACGACGGAAGCAGAGATATTTGAGAGGTACATGCACTCGCAGACGGCGCCTCGTCCGCGGTCAAGGTCGTGAGATCGGACAACGGGGGAGAGCTTTTCGAGGGAGAGTTCGGGAAGCCCTACCGCAAGCACTGCATCAAGCAGGAGTCAACCCCGCATACAGCCCAGAATACAACGGTGTAGCTGAGAGAGCACTGGTCTGGGTCTGATCAAGGATGCAGCACCGGTTCTTCTTCTTCATCGACTCCTCCACCTGGGTCGCCAATCGCGAAACCTGCAGTTGGAAGCTTGCAAGCTCCGCATTACGACCCCCCTGCACAGGCGTGCGGGTCTGCTCCCCGCCCGCACCAGTGCTATCGTCATCTCCGGTCGAGCTCACCCCAATGCGGCTTTACTCGAGGGGCAAACTCTATAGTGTTTGCGGCCGTGCCACGTGTTGTTCGAGTGAAACTTGTTTCGGTGATGTATTAACTTCACACGAGGGAGACGGCTGTCCTCTAGAAGGACGGGCAAATGGAGTGCTCCACAACTCCATAGAGCAGCTCCTACAGCAAGGAGGGGCCGGGATCAACAACAGGTCGGTGGTCCCGTCGCGGGAGCTGAGGGCTACCGTTACGTCGCCGTACCCGACGATAGGGAAGGTTTCGCCGGCGGCGACGCGCACACGTCGATCATACTCTTCGTTACGAACGAACCCTTCAGAGTTTGCGAACATGTGGGTGGTAGCGCCGGCATCGGCAACATACTTCCCCCGCCTGGTCTGCTCTACCAAGGAGCAAGTGTGCATAGGTTTATATGACAGCCGTTCACGACCACACGTTCTCCGCACAATGCCAGGCATCAGCTAGAGCGGGCGATATCGTCGTGCAAATTCGCGACCTCGAGCGTTTCTTTGTGGAAGGGTTTGTTTTGGGGTTGCGGTCAACGGCAGCTTCCAATATTTGTGGCAATCGTTCGTTTCTCGCCAGAACAACTGCTCCCGTGATTTTTTTTTTCAAGCGAGGAAAGCAATGATGATGATGGTGGTAGGAGCACCGATGTCGCTTGAACCGGCCGCAGGCAGCACCTGTGGCAGCGGCATTGCCCGAATTGTTTCACACACGTCCATCTCACAGCACACCCTGAATCAGAACATTTTCAGGAGCTTTGGTGCTCTTTGCCCTTGCCACGGATGAACCCGTTCCATGAGGAACGGTTCAACATTCACTGTTGGTTTAAATGTATTCGTGCGACGGGACCAAAATGTTGAACCGTGGTTCGTAAGGGGTATTATTAGCGACCAAAAAATCACGGAAAATTGTACGGAATCATTTTGTCTTGAACATATATGGCGACGTTTCCCCCCGAAAACGTGAAAAGAAGGAGCCAGGAGCCGGGATTTTTTGGGGCTTGCTACTTTCACGGACAAGCGCACTGCGGGCGCTGTAACATCACTGAGAACGCTAGAAAGACCTGCCAGATTCACATCTAGGTCTCTTAAGGAGATGGAAAAGCGGCACAAGCGGTGTTCAGTCCGTTCTTGGTCAAAAACTAGTACGTAGTGCTCACGGCTTCAACTGCTGCTGTTGGTGCTGAATTTTTACAATCACACATAAATTTGCTGGAAACCCTACTTTCAGCGCGCGCGGCAGTGTGAGCGTGTGACCGCCGTGGTTGTGTTATTGTTGAGCAGCAGCTCGCTGTAGCAAGGCGCTTACAGCCATGGCGCGACAAGCACGAGGGAGGATGGAAGCCGGGCGGTACGCGGAGTGCTTAAAACTCACCACGATCGTGCGCTAGTGGGTGAGGAAGACCTATTTCTTGTGCTTGGCAAACACGGAAACAGTAGAACGAGCACAGCAGCAGCACCAAGACCTCCAACGCGCTGATTCCTTCGGGTCGGCTGTCTATATGATACCATCTGCCGGCGCCGCGTGCTGCTTCGTGGGTATTGGGTGCTGGGGTGCTGCTCAACAAGGTGTGTGAGAGACGTGTGCCACCTCACCAAAATGCCGTTGGAAAAAATGCGGCGAGATGATCTGTTTTTGGTCGGACACGTCAACACCACTCCACGGCACCACGCAGCAGAAGAGCAGCAGGGCCTCCTACACGCTAATTCTTTCGGATTGGCCATCTATATGATGCTGGCAGTCAGCGCGGCTGCCGCCCTATGATTGTCGAGCTCGTCTACCTTTGGGCAGTTGGTGGTCAAAGATGGGAGTCGCAACCGCGAAAAATGAGCTGGCAAACTGAAGAAATCGCAGCAATACCCAGGTTGCGAGAATCTGCCCTGCGCCTGTTGTTGCTGAAAACTGAAAACAGCAGGCCGGGTGGATAGGATCTTTCTAAGCGTGTTGTCCTCCATGTCGGGTGCTGCTCATTGCGCTTTTACCGCTCGCTGCTCTGTGGTGAGCAACACCAAGTCAACTTGTTTTGTGCCGAGCAAAACGTGTACTTCAGGGAAGGAAACGTACTTTTTGCGATGACATCACGAATAGAACAAGCGAAATAAAGTCGGGTTTTCTTTTCACCGCTCCGTGGAAAAATGCACAACTTTTCCGAAGCGTTAATAACGAGCCTAATGTTCAGGAAAAGCTATTTTGTGCGGGGTCGGGTCGGCCAGTCACAGGAGAATCGCGAGTTCCCTGTCCCTTTTCTTTCTCAGGGGGTGATCCTCGTCCACGGTTTTAGCCAACGCCCTAATGCGTGCATACGTAGGACGGCGGGTGCACTTCCGTTTGTGGGGATGATTCCTACCACAACATCTCACGTCGGCCTGGTTAGGCGTGGCTGCACCGCCACAGTCTCCTCCCCTCCCCGGCCTGCTCCCCGGCCGGGGCCGAAATCGACCTTGTGAGTCCCTCGCGGGCGAACCAGGCCACAACAGATAGTAGGTGGGTGGTGTCCCAAGGTGCAACTCACCGCCGCGCTGGCTCAGCGTGGCGGTGAGGATGCACAGACGGTGGTAGTGGCGAGAGGTGTATGTGGACCTTGTCCCCGCGGCAGCAATGCAAAGCGGCAAACTGCACCTGGTAACCACCGTCGCGGAAAACGTGGCCCACGAAGCTGGAGGAGCAGAGAGATTCGTAAAAACCACGCGAGTAAGCACCGTTCGCGGGAGAAGGGAGATAACCGCGGGCGACGCGGGGGGGGAGTGCTGCACCCTCCTCGTCCAAACACCACAGGCAAGCACCGAGCCCTGCAAAGATGGATCGATGCGAAGAAACTCGCCGCTCGGATTAAACGGAAGAAA